AATACTGGGATTGAGTTTTGTTGTTTTTTGGACACATGAGTGATAAACCTCTTCCATGCCTTAGCCAGAACCAAAAGGGATAGATTTTAAGATTTTGCATTTATTTTTGAAGATAGTTTCACTTTCTGATTCAGGTACATCAATGAGTAAGTAGTAAAGTACATTCTTGGCTGGCTTTTGGAGGGGTGGGAGAAGGGGAACATTTTCTTTATAGACATTTAAAACTAGAGAACTTTTGGTCTTGTATTAAGTTTTTTTTGTTATTTTTGTGTATTTTGTATATGCAGTTTTTAACTTTTATCTAGTTTAACCAATTTTTCTAATTAGTCTTCAAGGAAAACTTCAACCAATTTTTCTAATTAGTCTTCAAGGAAAACTATTTGGGTTTCTTACCTATGATTTGAGAAAACAAGAAAAATTACCAAGCTTAAAAATTGATTTGAGGGATTAATTTTGAGAGTCATCTGCTTCTTTTGGAAGTCAAAGTTTTCCATTGTAGTGGCTTTTATGCTGGTTACCTCATGTTTTTGTGGTTTTTCTTTTGGTCCCAGGATGTTGCCTTCCTGGAGAAAATGATTAAAGATGATAAAGAGCGAGGAAGACTGCCCCTGTTGCTTGTTGCAAATGCTGGTAGGTATCATGAAACCAAGTCATCCATTTTAGATATTGTTATGGATTTAATTCCAAAAAAAAACACCCAAACCCACTGCCATTGAGTCGATTCTGACTCATAGTGACCCCCTTGGGTTTCCCAAGGTGGTAAATCTTTACAGAAATAGCATGCACCACCTTCCTTCTACAGAGTGGCTAGTGGGTTTGAACCACTAACCTTCTGCTTAGCAGTCAAATGCCTTAGGCACTGCACCACCAAAGCTCCTTATGGATTGAATTATGTATCCCCAAAATAGGTGTTACAAATCCTAACCTATGCCTGTGGTTTTGATCCTATTGGAAATAAGTTATCTTTGTTATGTTAATGATACAGTATTAGTGTAGAGTGTGTCTTAAATCAATCTCTTGAGTTACAAAAGAGATTAAACAAGCAAGTGAGAGAAGCAAAGATGGGGGAAGATTGATGCCAAGCTACAGGGAGATCTTCAAGAAACCAGGAAAGAAGCTGAAGAGCCAAGGGCCTTCCCTCGAGCTGACAAAGAGGAAACTTTCCCCTAGAGCTGGCATCCTGAATCCAGACTCTGGTCTCCTGAACTATGAGAAAATATATTTGTTTGTTAGTCATCCACTTGTATTATTTCTGTCATAGCAGCATTGGATAACTAAGACAGATATATAAAAAGGAAGCCAGGCACTTAACTCTAAAAAAGATGAACACTTAAGAAATGTCTGTCTGCCACATGCTTTGTGGTGAGAACTATGAAAAAAAAAATGTTGGCTCATTAATTCCTTTCATGTTGGTTTGTTTGGGGAGTTAATTTTATGTATGTATGTGTGTGTATAATTTTTGATTTAGGTCGTAAGTGTTTCTTTTATCTTTTGCTTTATGTATTTCTTTTCTCATTCCTAAATTGAATTTTTAAATGTTACACTTAAATATCCACATTGTAGACAAGCAAGAAGTCAATTATGGCTTACTGCTCTACTTACCCTACTGTATTCAGCACTATACTCTTGAGGCCCTAGGCATTGCATTAAGGCAGAAAATAATTCAGCAATATGCAGATTAGAAAGGAAGAAATAAAACTGTCTTTGTTCATAGATAAATGAATAAAGATACGTTGTATCTTGGCCTAGATATTATTGCATTGATATGATTACATAGATAGAAAATCCTAAGAAAACAAAAGAAAAGCTGTTAGAACTAATTAAGTGAGTCTAGCAAGGTTGTGTAATACGTGGTCAGTATATTAAAAAAATACATAATAGCATCAAAAAATACAAAAAAATTTTTGGAGAAATGTAACAAAATATATACAAGATCATACAATGAAAGCTCAAACATGGCTGAGAGAAAGAAGACTCAAATAAATGGAAAGATAGTATCATGTACACGGATTGAAAGACTCAATATTGTCAAGCCATTTCTCCCCAAACTGATGCATAGATTCGACTCAGTCTCTACCAGAATGTCAGCAGCTTTTCTGTAGAAATTAATTGATTTTGAAGTTTGCATGATGATACAAGGGATGTAAGAAGACCCAAAATAAATTTGAAACAAAATTGGGAGACTTACACTACTTGATTTCAAGACTTTCTGTAAAGTTACAGGTAATCAAGACAGTGTGAAGTTAATCAAAGGTAACAGTGTTCAGAAATAGACTCGGAGGTCACCTGATTTATTTTTAATAAACATGCCAAGGTAATTCAATGGAGAAAGGATAGTTTTTCTACCAGTAGTCTTATGACAGTTAGATATCCATATAGAAAAAATTGAACCTCAACCTCTACTTTATTGCGTATGCCAAAATTAATTAAAAAATGGATCATAGACCTAAACATAACTAAAACTGTAAAAATCTTCTAGGAGAAAACATAGGAGATCTTTATGACTTTGGGTTAGATAGAGATTTCTTAGGACACAAAAAGTATGAACAATAAATTGGATTGCATAAAAAATTAAAAGCTGTTGTTCTTTGAAAGACCCTGTTAAAATTAAAAGACAAGCTACAGACTCAGAGAAAAATAGTTGCAAAACATGTATCTGACAAAGGTTTTATCTTGAGCATATACCGAGAAGCAGCTCTGGTAGCCTAGTGCCTAAGGCATTTGACTGCTAACCAGAAGGCTGGCAGTTCAAGCCCACCAGCCACTCCTTGGAAGGAAGATTGGGCAATCTATTTTCGTAGTGATCCTGCATTGAAACCCAAGGAGGGGTCACTATGAGCCGGATCTGACTAGACAGCAGTGAATTTGGGGTTTGTTTTTTTTTTTTTTCTTTTTCTTTTTTTTTTCTT